TTTCATTTATGAATTTCACCTTAAATCTCTTTCATCTTTGAATGTCTTTCATTTTTTAAGCAGGACAAACGAAGCCCAAGCTGCCAAATATCACGCAAAACACTTGGCAGCAATTTCTCAGTCTGGCGGACAGCATTCTTGGAATAAATGAGACCATCGAGGTGTCTCCCAAGCCACATTCACTTTTTCTCAAACTCGATGAAATTTATCCCATTACCCTTCAAAAGTGCCGCCATTGGGTTGAGACGAATACCAACTGTAAAGCCAAGGGCAGCATTCGCTTTGAGTGCACTTTCATCTCACGCATGCTCAGCGCCCAACTGTTTCAATACGTAAGTAGTTGAGTAAAACAAGTTTATGTGGCGCTTAGTTAGAATGTTCTCTTTCTAAAAGGTGCCTTTGTGTTGTAGGAGACCCTACACTTGGGGAGCGTAAGGGTTAAACTGGAGCACAAAGAGGCAATTCGCTGCAGGCATCTTCAAGGTCACATAGTTGGCGCCATGGTTGAATGCTGCTTCTCGAAGTGGCGGGAGGAACCAATCGTGTTGCCTTATCTCTTCAAGGTCTCTGTAGAAAGAGTTGGTCGCTGTAGCATGACGCAACAATCTGAGTTGGAAATGCCCACAGAAAAGGATTCTCGGGGGGTATCAGATTATCTGCGGCAATTGATCAATTCTTACTTTCGGATTTACTTATCTGAATACTTCTATACACGTCCATGTTAATGTCTCAAAATGCGTGTTTTACTTGTATTTTGAGGTATGACATGGGTCAACCCCAAAACATCGTAGAAAAGTTACATAAATTAGTACATGCTATAAACCTGAAAGTCTTTTTTTGATAAAATAACAAAAGGGCATAACTGAAACCTTTATCATTGGATGCATTTCGTTTTCAAATAATTTGTTTAACGAGGAGGCGACGTACAAAAGTTGACAAAATATTTGAAAGGGACGTATTGAATGAACTTACATACATGTCGAAATGAGACGCATCAGATAGTAATTTCCAGAGTTTTAAATTTGGCACTAATTTATGAAATCGAAGTCGATGAGGAAAATTAAGGCAAGTACAAGAGCAGGACCGTGCTAAAAGCGAGCGCAATAAGCGGGGCAGGTATTCACTCTTGTGTCTAAGGTGACGATAAGAAAATCGCCTATGGCTGGCAATGTGGATATTTTCGAGAATGCACGAAAATTTGATGTGGGACGAATGACGGAATTAATTACCTTGAGTATGTTAATAAATGTCGAGCTTTAGAGAATTTCTTACTGAACACACTTGTAGGCAATAACGCAATATGGAGGTTGGCTTAATCACGGCATTCAACTAATTAAATGTCGAATTTGTGGTTGATATATATTTCCACAAAATAGGTGTTTAATTTAAAATGTCTGAAAATATTCACAGTTGATATGCCAAATATGATTATTTATAACTGACGTTTGGATTCAGACAGATGAATCACACATCTCACTGAATTAAATAGCTAAAAAATTATGGGATGTTATCAATATTTGGACAGCACTATAGGACAAACTCAAAATCTCTTTAGTTCAATTTGAAGCAGTTTGATAATAATATTGGAACTTCATTATTTCTCAACTCATAAAAGTGCCGAGATCTGAAGAAATGACACGACGAGGAAAACACAACTGCATTTTAACTATTAATCCTGATGCTTATTTATATTTGCTTGTTGATAGTGAACAATGAATGCAGACGGACAAGTGTTGCAGCAACCCTGCATGTAGAAACATCAACTACTACAGGTCTCCTGACAATCAGCGACAAATGTACACGACTAAGTCTCTAAAAACCTAAAATACAATGACTACAACGAAAAATTTAAAGTCGGTGGACTACCACTTTACACCAGCGAAAAAAGTATTTTCGTCAGCTCAATGCTTCAATGTCTGGTTAGATTTTTATCACTTCGTCTTTAAAGACCTAAAAGAGACTTAAAATTTCCGTTTTTGTTAAAATTCGAGTTTACAAAAAAATGCTTAACATATTGCAAAGTGTTTTAAATTAGCGAATTATTGGCGTTTAAACCAATTTGCAAAATTTTTTGTTTTTGAGAAGCTGTGTTTTAGTAATGAAACTTTGGTCATATTTGCGACGCGGTCTCCATGGATTTTTGTTGTGATGTGTTGTGCCTGTTTAATGCGTAGGTTGTGCGAATATACGCCCTTTTTCTTATATGCCACTTTTCTTTGGAGCAATATTAACAATTTTTTCGCGTTTCATTGTTACCCCTTTGGTTCAATTTTATCCTTTAAATCGTTATTTATTTGCTACCGTTTTTACTGCAAAATCAATAAATGAACTTTTCGTAGTCAGTTATTTAGTAAGGAAAGGTGTAAGGTGTAGCATGTAAGTCGTATTTACCTTCATCTTTTTTTTTCTAACTATAATTACCACTTGACAGCTTGTACCTTTACTTTTCCCCGAATTTTCGACGTCAATCCTTTGTTAGCGGTACATTTTTCTTTCAAAGAATAATTTGTGTATTCTTACGCGTGATCCCTCACTCGATGAAGTCTGAGGCGTTCAATGATTTCCTTGTTCTCTATTCTCAATATTTCTCTCCGAACCATGGCTGTTGATTGACCTATGTTTTACTGTTCCCACTCTCATGTACGCACATCTTTATGGCCTGACCGTTTGTGTAGTACTAGACTTATAGACTCTTTCTGTTAATGATTTTGTCCTGTGTTTATGATTGGTGCTGTTATGAAATGGACCACGTTTATTCGTTAGGTTGTCGAACAGTAACCATTTTTCTTATTTATCAGATGCCACACATTGAGATCCCTTTGGGACGGGAAGCTTTCACGGAAGTCCTCCGTCAAATAATCTTGGCAAGTGGAGATTTCTTCGCTGTTGGTGACGTTCTGTCGGCGGTTGTTGTCGAGGCGTTGAACAACCACGCAGACTACATTGCCGATGCATTCGCTGCCCGCCTGAAAAATGAAAAATCCATAACCCTACGTAGACTCGTTGCAACTTTTGCTGACTGCCCCCTTCAGCTCTTCCGGATATTTAACTATGTTTCAGCTTTTGCGCAAAATGTCTACTTGCTGGATGGTTCCATGGACCCGCAATACGCAGCGTCGAAGTCCCTTTCAATTTTCCACAGTGAGTGTGAGAGGCGCCAAATCAGTCTGGATTTTCAAGATGCTGTTCCTCAAATCATACTCGATGGCTACCAGGCAAGAATGCTGCGCATCGACAAGTTTGCCATCGATGCCCCGACAAGCGAGTACCTCGATTTCACCCGGCTTCGACAGAGAGCGCGCCTTTTTGGTCTGTCCGAAAGGCGGGCGTTCAACTATTGGTTGTCTCAGAGTGGACTGACCAATCGTGGAGATGCCATGCCTGTCCTTGCTTACCTCGTTACACTCTGCCTCAAAGACCTTCTTGATGTTGCCTTGGCTAGCAGGCAACGTTTCGGCATTAATCTACGTTCTCAACTCACCGCAGTAGAACTTCAACAGGCCAGTTTGTGTATACGGCGGCTGAAGTCGTACCTCTAGCCAGCATTGTACATATAATCAACTCCCAAGCTATCAAGATTACATTCTTTTTGAGACAGACTCATTTCAATTTTCTAAGTTGTCTCTAAACTCCACCGTGCGAAATTATCACTAAACCGTGTGTGTGGTTATCATCACGTAGGCTTTTTGCCGAAGCTTTGGGGATGTCATTGCCAGAATGCCGGTAAGAGGGGATATCATTTTATCTCGAGCAGAAATCCGGTTTGAAAATTCAGCGTGGGACTCGTTGGCAGCAGCAGACGTCAAATTGGCGGCTAAGCCAACGTCTACACACGTTACTGCACAAAATAAGTAGGAGGTATTTCTACCGTGTGACTGGACGCTTCATGAACACATTAATAGGGTAAAAATTTGGTTGCTTAAAATGGTCCCGTTCCACCACGAAAGCCAACCTTTGTCGCCGTCTGAAATCTTATCATATTGTCGAATTGTATGCCCTGGAGATCTAGTGACGTGGCATCGATCATTTACCTCGTCTTTTGACTTTAAAATGATGGAATGGAGGTTTTGGTTCAATTAAGAGGCTCTGCGGATCTGCGTCTTGTTTTTTTTCTCAAAGTACATGGTAGACCGGGCCTTTTGCGTTTTTTCTATTTCGGCTGAACACAACCCACGTCCTTGAGCGGACGTATCTGATTGGTTGGCTGGGCGTTCAGTGTAACCTGACTCAGGTAAACAAAAACATTCGGATTCATTTAAAATCGATTCTTTTATTTACATTTGTCAAATGTTTTATAGCAGACCGCCACATATGTCAGTCGGCTCATTTAAATTGATACAACAAACGTGGGTTCCAGTCATTACCTGGAAAGATGTGTTTTTACGACAAAAGACAATGCTAAAAATATATATATCGAGAGAGAGACAGTAGGTGGTGTTAGTTCTTCCGATGGAAGGAAGGGCATTAAATTTTACTGCTTTTGGGGGTGCGAGAGGTGCATTGCCAGGTCTATTGAGGGGGGAGGGAGCTCGAGTTATTGTTGCCTCTCTGGCGGTGGGGGCAGCTTTCTGGAAGCGAAGTCGACCTCAGAGTGAGTATTACTCACGACGGTGTCAGGTCGGTGGCAGAGGATGATGCCAGCTTCTCCAGCTGGAAGTCGGACGAGAGCGGGAGCCACTGTGTGGTAGTTCGACACGCCACCACCGATTCCTCCGCTGAGGTCATCATAGACGGTGGTGCTGACAGTGCTCGAATGACGGCTTTGCTGCTGCTGCTGCTGACGCAGTTTCTGCTGTTGCAAGTTGCTCTCCGTGCAGCCTGCTTGCATCAGTAATGACTCATTCATTTTGATAAGGTAGATCCTGGGCTGCTGACCTTGGCTGACGTCACCGGCGACAGAGGCGATTTCTATGCTATCGCTTTTGCCAGGATAGTACGTTGGTAAAGTGCCTAGAAATCACAAGTCACCTTAAACACCGCGCCAAAACACCTTCAAAATCAAAGTGGGGCTAACGCATGAGGAACCTGCCGGTGCGAAACCTATTCATTGATGAAAGTGACTACTTTTCCCTTTTTAATCATTTCCCCAATGCGGCTAACTGGCATCTCAAAAATCTTGTTTTTTCGTGCATCCGATTGGTACCAAAAAGGCAATCAGAAATGACGGTTGCGCGACCAGGTAGGTAGAATGTGGTGTTGCGAAATCCTGGATAAATGACCAGATCGGCAACGGTACCAACGAATTTGATGGTGTAAATATTTCAACTCTCTCTCTAGCACTGGCGCCTAGTCAATTGTACCCAAGATAACAAACGCTGGTGTTAAGTCACCGACCAGGGTGGTTGTGCGCTGCACTTTGGCTCGAGTAACGAATTTTCATAATGTGGTTTGCAGAGTATAAAGCGAAGTTGACCCTGTGTTAGTCGGCATATTTTCGATCAAGCTAAGGTTTTGACTAACTGAAGTGGGCTGGAATCGATACCGTTCCAATACCTCACTCCACAAATCGAAGACACGAGACTAAATCTCGGTATTAGGAAGAGGTCTGCTGTTAAAACACCACGGCAAGGTGTTTGATCTTTCGATGGTCATGGATGTTGTCACTTAAAACTGCAGCTCATTTATCGTCTTGTATCAGAGCTACTTCGTTATTTAGTTGAATACCAATCTGCTACCTTCTAGTAACCCGCCGAATTTCATAGTCAGCATTTCTTGAGAGACCATACGCGCTATTTCGCTTATTAGAACTGCCCGCTCCGATTCTATTGGCTAAGAACTCCTATAGTTCCTGCCAAGGCCTCCTACGACAGGTATTAGTGAATACATTTGACGGGTTAGTCGATCTGCTGCGTTGGCAGTCCTGTCTTTGTCCCTGTCCCTTTCTTTTTTGAGTACTTGATTAACCATTCAAAGGAACAGTAATGATCTATGTTCTCTGGACCGGAGTTGGTGTAATCCTTTGCTAGTGTCTGTCTCGTTCTAGTAAAACACGAAGCTACCCAACCTGATAATGACACAGGAAACTGATTGGACGTCCCCGTGTCTGACGACGACGTGGTAGACAGAGTCGCGTGGGGCTGAGCAGCCAATTTTGACGAGCTGTCACCAACGCCGCAGTCATCCGGCGAGATTTGATGTCTGTAGGAGGGCAGCACGCTGAACTCGGACTGTTGGTCCGGGTAGGCTGCGAAAAAGGCCTGTGGGAGCGGTGGCTGCTGTCGCAATGTCTGCGACGGGAACACATCCGACGATTGCATCAGGCCATAGGGGACGTGACCTTGGAACATCTGTTGGTGGTAGCACTTGGTTGAGTGGGTGGTAGAACTGTCAGAGGGTGATTCCAGGCACAGGCATCGTCCCAAACAGCTGTCGTGGTTGCCATGTCTCAGAGAGTCTGAAAGGGACAGACAGAAGGCATGGAATGGGTGGCAATTCCCGTTTATCATTGTCGACGCCATAATTCGAAACTATGTTGATCATCCAAGTTCAAGCTTAACATCAGGCTGCTCCGTCTTGGGTTCAAGGAATCTTATTGGTCGGTTTGCGAAGTACCGGCAATGCCATTGGTTACTTACAAGAGAATCACATTTTCACCTGAACGACCCATGGGAGGAAAACCTACGAGGCAGAACCAAAACGGCACTGATGTCTGATCATTTTGCTGTGCATCGTGGTATTAAATTGCCTCAAAATCTTATTTTGACCAGATGGTCTGCGAAAATTGCCCTCTACATTTTATGATTGTCAAATTTGGACGGTTCCCAAGTTTTTGGATGTGAGGATATGACATGAATTATCCAATGCCATTTCCTATTCATGAAACCTACCTGACTGTTTAGGTAGTTCGACGCATGAGTGGTAGCGCGATAAAACAATTTTCGACAAATAAATTTCATGAAACAACACCAACTCAAATGATGTTGAGACGCAAATATCGAAATAGGATATGAAAGGGCCTAATCAGCCAAATATTCAATCGGACCGATTTTGAGGGCTTAGTCATCGAGTCTGTGGGAGCGAAACTCAATGAAAAATTATCGTTTTATTTGATATTCTATCACGACTGTGCTGGCATCATGACTGTCATGCGCCGAAAAGAATCATGCGAATTTGATGCGGCGTGGGCGCCGTGATTAGCTAAACATTACTTTGAACAGGTGCAAACACAAAGACACCAACATATTTAGGAATGCCAGTCGTTTTTAAATGGTGACGTCAGGCATGGAGGTTGGAATTTTTCGATTTTGTTTGAATTAGGCGGTGATTTTTGTTCATTGCTCTGAACTGATGCAATGTCCTTGAATTCGATAACCGTGTGTCGTTTGAATCGAGTGTTTGACCTTGAAAAGCGAGCGTGTACATCGACCCATGCTGTTAAAACAAATGGTTTTATTTTCTGAAACCTGTAATAACCAGACAACCCAGGGTACACAAGAGCTTTCCAAACCCTGCAATTGTCTTTCTGTTGATAGTTAACACATTTTCTTGTGGTTTAAATTAGGCCAAAGAAATTTTGGTATCCTGTTTTGACTGTACACTGTCTGCTGTGAATCGCGCTGATTCACACTCTAATCCGATCACTCCAGCCTCCGACACAGGTTCCCCCACTTCGCTGCATGTCGCCAGCCACAGGAATATTTATCTTGGCGTATCCTCACACCTAGGCCTCGATGTTAGTGCACGTATGACTCACACATCTGAGGTATATATATACAAACACACGCGAAAATGCCAATTACGACACAATGACACCAATGTGGTTGAGGTTTGAAGTAAACGATTGTTTCAAAGTCCTCTCTGGTCTTTTTTCTTCATTGCGGATATCAGGGAAGCGTAACCGGGCCAGATTTAATTCAGTGGCCCCGGCGTGGTTCAAGACCACTTGCTGGGGCCCACAAAAGTGTCCAATAGCATTGCAACCTACCAAAGTAGCATTTGGTCAGAGCGCATCGAATGGAGAGAGCGATGTTGAGAAAGATGGCGGCGATTGTGAGGGAAATCAGGGCCAGAACAACTTCCGGACGCAGTCGAGAGAGTGCTACAAGCGTAGAACAAGTGATCTCAACAAGGTAGCTCATGCAGTTTGGTTGCATATCTCTACTGCCTTATCTGTCCTAATAACTTGGGTCCAACGAAATCTCCAAACTCACAATTGTCTGTAAGTGTGCACGTTGGATTTTCTGCAATAACAAGTAATCAAGCGGAAATGGAGGTAAACCAGCCTCCTGATATAGACGTGGAACCATTAAGTGATCATTGGGAATCCAGACTTACCTCTAAGTGGACTGCCCTCCTCCACTTCGTCTTGTTGCAGTGACGCGCTCTGAGAGACAATAATTCTATCTACAAGAATAGTGCACAAGTTATTTAAAAGCGACACTCTGGGACTCCCTTTAGACAATTCATGCGGCGCCAAATCACACTGTAAAACCGAACAAGACGTGAATGCCCTGAAAAATCACTGTTAATTTAAAAAAATTGTTTTGAACAGAGCTGCGCTTTACTCTAAATGCAGAATTAGGGAACATTCTAAAGAAAACAGCTATCTGTAGTTTTTTTTTCGAAAAAAATCGATGGTGCGTCTAGTGATGCCCGACAGGTTTGGCTGTTTCACGCTTCAATGCTCCCCGCGTCAACACTGCGACAAAACATCGAGAGGATTCTGTGACAAGAAAAGTTGTTACACCTGATGACAACAGCCTTGAGTGGGAATTGTCGACAATCAGTTAAAGAATTCAGCGTTTACGAGTTGGCAGAAGAATAAACAGGTCATTTGCATGAATAAGCATGTTTATGAAGGGCAATTATTGAAGATTCTGTCCAACCTGGTTGGATACAAGCGTCCAAAGTACTAGGCTACCATCACCAAAATGGCTGGTTTGAGATCAAGGTCAGCAAAACTGAATCAACACCGATTTCTTTACTTGGACGAAGAAGACATTAGCGCGGTCTCTGTCCTTGTTGTCCAGATCGGTCTAACGTTAGGGCAACTTTCCCACCCTCAAACTTGTTTCTCGACTGCTCAAAGTACTTCAGCTAAAAATGATCGTGTTTGGCCAATGGGAGCCGTGAAGTCATAGACGCCATGATCATCCCTGTTGGAGGTGGGCGGCATCTGCGGTGTGTAAGATAGAGTGGCAATTGAACGCCATAGATAACTGGGTTGGGTCAATTGCAGGCTGACATTTACGCGGGCATAATTTGTGCCCGTGGTGTTCCCCTGGGATACATCTAATCGGTCTGCCGTAAGGAAGTGCACGCCAAAGCGATGCCGGTTAAATGGCAACCGGTAATTTGTTGTTTCGGCAGCCGATGTGGTTGTGGTGGCGGCGTTGTTGGTGGATGCGGTGGTAGTGACGACGCTAGAGGAACACGGACATCAAGCATCCATGGACATTAATTTCTTTCTTTCGCGAAAACTCTCCATTTGCCTAAATATGGCGGGAATATCTACCACAAATTGTGCAATTATTGTCTGATATGTTTGGCGTTGTGGATTTCTGCACTGAAGTCACTTCAGAGCACTGGGAACCGTCTGTTGAAGTACTGTTCAGAGTTGCTTCTCAGTTCATTTGAATTCTCCGCTACTTCATACCTGACCTAGATTGCTAGTTTAAATTGGGGTTTAATTGTAGCTTCAAATCGGGCCGGGCAGCAGTAGAAATATGTGGGAAAGCCCCAATTGACGGTGGTCGTGGCTGCATCCACTTGTGTTTATAAAACTGCATGGATTCTTACATAAACTGACCACAGTCTTTAAGCTGGGTCATGACCTATTAAAGACATGGTTTTGGTTGCATGTAGTAGGTAAATTTCCGGCTAAATTAGAGTCGAGTTTGAGGCGAAAGAAATGTGAGACCCAGTGAGTGATTTTAGTCAGTTTTCGCAGCCGTCAGGTATTCTGGAGGAAGCTTCGAGGAAGTTTCTAATTAGCGTGACTCTAAAGGCAGAATAAATAACCTAGAATCAGCGAATTTCTGGGCGTTCCTAAAAATATGACATCATTTCAACACCCAGAAACATAAACAAACCCTGTTCGAGTCATCTCAAAGTTTGGCGACCTGTCTCTAGAACTATACATTTTTCTGAACCTGACTTTGTTCATATTCTCATCTTTAAAGATCACCAAGAATGAAATCTTGCGGCTAGAACAAGGCTCAAACTCAGTTCAGTGTGAATGAAGGTGTTCCATGTGGAAAGCTGGTAGAGTTTAAAAAGAAGCTCTGGACGTTCAACAGTTTCCAGAGTATCTACGATGAAGACGACTCGAAATCTGGATCTTCAAGTCAACAAATTTGTCGTGTCGAGCGAAAACGCATGTGATTTTAATCCATCTCTCAAATGGATATTTCAAACTGTGTCAAAATTTTGCCAAGTCTTGTTTAGTAAGTTTTTTAATTTATCTTTACCGAATTGACTTCACACTGCATTGTAAATCTATTGATTAGGTCGCTTGACCGCCTCTTGTTTAAATGTGCCAATTCCTCCGTCACCAATAGCAAGGTGAACTAAAATCCTTAAAGTGATTTTAAAGATTCGTCGCCGTATCTGGGACAAACTTCTCTACCTTCTGGCACGTTTTGTCCAACACTCAGACTGGCGCCACAATTTTTCGTCACGGGGGCCACTTTTAAACAAAACGCAAATATTTTATCCAAAGCGGGCGTTTTAAAAGCTACAGCAGTTAACCTTGACCATTATATTCCTGAGGACAATTTGTAGATCACAATAACACCTAACTCTAGGAACACAAATTCTTTTTGTTAACAATAGGAAAAAAGACATGACAATTCAAAAGGTTACGGGTTGGGAGAATGCACTTTTGCAGTTCACAAAGTGATCAAAGAAATTTACTTATTTTTCAATGTGCCGCAGATTTCTTTTTTTTTCACGTTGACTTGATAAAACAAACTGACTTATTCGGGTGCGAAAATAAGAATATTGATGAGGACCAAAATGTGTTTATGAATGCAATGGGAACTAGTGGCGCCTTGTTCGTCGCAAACTGCCTACTGAAAGGACCATTTATAAGTAGTAATAAAAAACGAATTCCTTCGACAGGGATGATAGTTTGTAGAAAACTACCCACGTCACATGCTCTAACTGTCATCTACTGTGCTTTGATATATGATAAACGCTATTCCCTTTTGTTGTATAATTACATACAGTAAGAAAATCTGCATTTCAGTAGTATATATATGTTAAAGTTGAATATGGTCTGAAAAGATGTGTTGCGCCTTGGTGTTGGGGAATGCCAAAAGAACTCTCTGAAATTCAGGCAAAAAGCAGTATTCAGCGGTACCCTTTACTGCTCAAACATAGCGTGTTCATGACACTGTTTCACAATGAGTACCAACTTTCTGAAGCTGGAGACTGGATCTATTATATGCCAAATATTGGACAGTGAATTGTGCACATCCACGATTTTATGGAATCTCGACTTTGGTCACTAATCGTGATGAAAACTTTGAAGTTTTGTCAAAAAATCAATGAATTGCGACCAAAATTTTTTATTCTTTTGAGTCTGGACATCAAGCGGTCGACTAATTCTCAGTATCTTCCTGATTCTCCTGCAATTTGATTCGGCCCATTTTCATTGGCTTATGAGGTGGGTTTCCCCGTTGAGTACAAACAAGTTAGCCATCCAGCCAATCAGCGGCTTGAGTAAGTCTCGTTTATTCGCCTGAATGCAGCCAATGAGCTTTCCGCAAAGTCAACAGTTTGCCAATAGAATGATTTGCGAATTTTAAGACGGTTTTAGGGCAAAACTGATTTTTCCATCACACGAAAAATGCACTATGTCCCCTGTGTAACCACATTCATTACGAATCACGTAATCTCCCGTGCGTTAATTTAACCATTACGACAGAAAAACGATGAACGATGCCCATTACTTGCAATAGCTGGAGATGCTGGTATCTGCGTACAAAGGGTTAATTAGAAACGATAAAGGCTAACACATGGGTGACATCTGTGCACCACAACGCATGTGAAGCATCTGGCAAACCACGTGGAATAAGCTCAAATCGCCAGTAAATGATGAGACCAAAGTGCAGAATTCTCTTTTTTAAAACAATTGTGCATTTGACATCCTGAGGTCTTCTCAAGTATGTGGAAGGGAGTTTTTTCAAGGAGCGAATACTTGGGAAGGTAAACGAGAGACTGAAATTTGTCGGAAAAAATCGAAAATTGCCATGACGAGTTTGCAAAATTTAAAGTTCACGAGTTGTTCAAGAAACTTCACAAATTTAAAAAACGATGCGATTTTTGTTGAGTTTAATAAATCATTTTGGTAGAACGAGACTAATTCACGGTAGGGTGTGCCTATTAAATGATCTGAAATTTCATTGGTCAGAATTGTGTCGTTTGAAAAAGTTTTCAGAAGGAGTTATTATTATCGAATCGAGCTTACTAGGTTCTTGCCGAATGTGAGACATAGGTTTGGGAAGCTGAGTTGACGTGGATGTCGTTATGGTGGCGATTGATGCTGTTGATGTGGTCTTCGGCTTGGCCGAGGCTTGAAGCTTTAACGATCGCATTGCTGAAACGCCCTGATACTCACAAGTCCAGTCTCCAGTTCTATCCAATTCCTCCATGTCGACTATGTACTCAAGGATCAGTCGACCATTCTCCACTTCCTGCTCATAGTGACATTCTTCGATAACCGTGGAAAGCGATTGTGGAACAACGCAGCCGTTGTGGTCATCAAACACGCAGGCTGGTGTGCAGTCTACGTAACAAATCTTCGTGTCAACCTGCAAGAACACAGAAGAATGTGATTGTGCAACCTTCTGTAGTGTCGAAAGTGAGCTTGTCCTAGATTGACACAAACTAGATGTTGAGCATTTTCCAGAATCATAAGGACTTCAAAGAAGCCAGTCGCTACGTACCTGAGGACATCGAAGGTAGACGCGACTAAGGCTCGTAGGACCAGACTTTACCAACGCTTGGCGTGCTTCGGTGCTAAGAATAACTTCACACGTGATGTGTCCCTTCCTATTGGCTGTTATCTTATAGTTGAAATGCACTTCGTGAACCTTCTGTTCCTCTTCTGGTTGGATCATCTGAAGGTCAGTATCGGTAGCTGAGAGAGAGACGTTGTCAATTTGAAGCAGGACTTGTCCGTAGCCGGTTTCCAGGGTGGGTAAAAGGAGGCAGAGTAAGATATGTACAAGGAGATTGGTCATATTCTGTCCTGTGTGAATGTAGATCCTCTCAAAGATGGTTATCAGCACATTCTAAGTAGAAGACCAGGTAAAAGCCACTTTAGTCTATCAAAAAAGTGAATCTAGGAGTGCCGAGTTCTTATTCACCTGATTTCCCACAAGACCGAATGGAGCCCTTTTAACTGCCTACTTCAAAAGGATCCTCTAATGATCATGCAGCTGTCTACGTCGACATAATTTTGGACGCCCAAATACCCACAACTTTGGCAACCTTGTGCTACCGTTAACCTTTACTTAGGAAGACATTTCAAAGCATGCGCGGGAATCGCCTGTGGGAAATGCAACCGCACTTTGAATTTCCCTGCGTGTGCATGATAAGGTGATGGCAGCAATTAAAATGATCTAACATCATAATTTACAAATAGTTCAGTCTGCTTTAGCTCCCAAAAAGTCAAATTTTTCCCGTCTTTCACGCGGCTGCGTGGGTAAATAGACAAAACTTAGAGCAACCAATCGGAAAATTGCGGTGGATTTAATCTGCCCGCCTTCTTCGAAAGGTCATGTCAACCAGTCGGCGCGTCTGTCAGTCTGAAGTGCGTCTGGGTGCCGGCCAAAGGGACTATATTCTGACATTTAACTTACAAAAAAACATGCACAACTTTGCAAACAACCGCAAATTAAACAGATTTAACTTGGTAAACATCAGAGCATTACGTCATCGAAGGGAATAGGCTGCCATGGTAACGGCTAGGATTCGGGCCATTTGTTTAAGTTTATTTCAAATTCTGACCCAATAACTCGACAAAAGGGTAGTTTTTCAAATTTGCCAAACTGATTGAATTAAAACCGATTTTAAAATAATGTTTACCTATAACGATATTGCGGCAAGTGGCTTGCAAGCGACTTGTTTTACTCGACTTTTTTGACCTTGAGGTCGTTAATAGAGCTCACATTTGATGAGTTGTGCGGTGATTATGGATTTTGGGATTTATCAAATCTACTAAGTCCTTAAATCAATTAGCTGATGGTTGTATCGGAAAAATAGCCTAACTGGTACGACCATATAAGACATTAGGAATCATTTGACTATGAGAGCAGCCTAATATGTCAGCGTTGAGTCTGGGCAATTGAATTGTCTGGATATGATTGACACGAGCGCATGATTGAAGCATGGATAAGGCACTTTTCCAGGTGGTGCGTAACCTTCTACGGTTGAATGATGACAATGCTACGTTTTCTTCAAATGACCTACCAGCCAATCAGAATCAAGGTCGATAAAGTTGCTAAAAGCGGTTTCTTGAATGTTGGCAAAAAAATGAGTCAGGTCACTAGATGAGTGATGAATGCGCAAAGCTCCTTTCTTGGTGGCATGTAATCGTCTTCTCCGAAATCACGTCGAAAAGGCTTTCTCATTTGAATAATGCTGGTAATTGCAAGGAAAATGACCAGTTAGATCTCTGTTCGCGAGTTTAATTAACGTTAGGTAAGTGTGACAGGCCTTCGTTTGTGATTAGGTTGTTTAATTTGACTGACTTGACCTGGTAGATTAAGTGTCGGGCTGGTTTAATAGCCCACGAATCTAGTAGCCGATAGGGCAGTTAACGTGGCAAATCGGCAGCAAACTACACCAGTCTAGACTAAGCTACCCAGAGCAGTAAAATTTGATACCTTCAGTGGTCACAGCGGCACCCTTTGAAGCAAAGACGACTGCACATAGCAACAATGCTTGGAATCTCGAATAACAAGGGTATCTGAGTTACATTCATTCTGGAGCCACAAGCAGATTCATCATCATCAGTGTCTGCATCGTAGAATGTCAAAGGAAATAAGGCAGGTAATTAAAACGACTTTGCGGAATATGAAATTTTGATTTGCGTGGAAAAAGGACAAAAGGACACAAAGGCGTCAACTTGAAGTTAGCTGCGTATGAAGATGACTTTGGTGTCTTAGCCATCACAATACGCGCAGCACATCCAAACACAAGCACACACACACACACAAACACGCCTCTAACAGAAAGAGGAGTAAGACGTGATTAATTACTCTCATTATACGATCCTTGAGGCATCGACAATGTTCCAGTTAGCGAACACCGGTCCTGTTGCTAAGACCACGTGGAGCTCCGCCTTAAAACCGGCTCCGCACCACCACGACCAGGCGTCATGTAGGAGCGTTAATCACGCGCGAAATCTCATTAAAGTTTGACAAGTCATAAACCTCAACCCCCGCACCTCTCCACGCTTTAATCGGCTGAAATGCGGATTACACGTGTGTGTGCGTGTTGGGTGGAGGTATTGTCAATTGAAATTAGTTGGCACTTCCATAGACGTAAACGTCGGCTTGGGTCGTTATCAACCATTGGACAAAAGATATGGACTAATTTCAGCAAATTTCAGGGAAACCAACGTCAAATGTATTTACAAGGAAGGACAAGATGATGAATCCATAATTTCTTAGTGGTTGAAATGAGGGTATGAAAAAAGAGTAACCGGCTACCCAATACGTAGTAATTTTACAGCATATTAATTTTCAAAAATATTGTACTTTTTTTAAAAAAAGAGCAGCCAAAAAACTTTAAACATGCTAGCATGAAGTTCTTTGGCAAAGTCCTACTCCTAATAAGTTATACGTGACGTTTTTGTGACGCTGTTTCATTATGATTGCTTATTTGGCGAAATTGCAGATTGATTACATGATTATGGCTTAGAACGCAACCACTAATCGTTGAATTATAAGCCAAATGTTTACTACACTTTGCATGCGGACGACGTGGCTAACATCCACTTAAAATTGCATTTGTTCCTGTTTAGTGCTGCTATAAATCAGTCAGGCGTATTTTTATTGGTTGATGAGGTGGGTAACCTTGCTGAGTGCATGCAAGTTAGCAATGTAGCCAATCGATAAATTGACTAAATCTCGTTAATTTGGCCGCAAGCAGCCATGAGCTTTCCGCAGAGTCTTCAATTTCGGTCACAATGGTGGTTTTCCTAGACCATCAGAAAATGTTCCCTAATTAAAGTTATGTGGGGATGTACAGCAGATCTGCTGTTTCATCACCTTTTGCGGTCAAGACCACAGTAAACACAAATGATTGGAAGATTGCTTGGTCGAAAAGACGGCTGTGCTCGTTTACTGGACGTATTTGTGTTGCCAATGGATCATGCACATCCACTAACCTGTTAATCTTTTGAAAAAAATCGATAATCAGTGCCATATCTAAGCAATTTCGCATATTCTGGATGTCGTATCTACGCACAACAAACACATAACTTCTCATTTCCCGGAAACTATAGTAAACAGTTTTGCGCACAAATGGCGGTTAATTGAATTCTTAGGGCAATTAACCAAGATTTAAATCAGGATGTGTGTGTACTTGGTTTTATTGTAATTATATTTTGTGGTTCATCGATAGGTAGAATAAACCACGCCTAAGTAAGGCAAATTTCGCCTAAAGAAATTCTCACAAGCAACAAGAGAAGATATGGAATGAATGCACACGCCTGGAGGCGGATAAGGCCCACATTCTCAGCTTACATTAAAATCTAATTTATCGCGAAAGTATGCAACCCGTTTTGTGGTTAGTTTGCAGTTTCTGCGAGGTGTAATTTACTTTTGCTATGGTTATGCGATATGAGAGTGTTTTTTATCCGTCAGTCATTTCGAACACAACTGACTGGTGAGTTTTGGTAATGCTAATTCACTAACTCTAAACCTACTGAAAGGGCACGACATTTCAAATTCGTATTTGCCGCCTCCCTCCAATTGGTTTATTCTACCTCTCAGCTTCGACTTCGTGTTTGTGTCTAAGTTTGCAGTAAGATAAAACAGGCACTAGAAAGGAAATTTAATTTAATTTAAACAAAACCTTAAAACGCATGGGCTGGGCTAAAAGGATAGAGACATTGGTGTTTTCCAATACTCATCGAAAAGTCTATAAAATTGGGTTTAAAAGTTGCTCAGGCAGATACGCTTGAGTCGCAGAAAATCGACAAAGTTAGCCCAATTCAAAAATACACATCTCTGATTGACTGGCTTACTACAGAGCAGGATTTAGCTTGTATTGATTACAAGGTCGAAGAAATCGATTTTACCTCCGATTTTGTTTAAAATCACCGTATTTGTTGGTGTGCATTTGAACAGTTTTGGAAACGCAAAAACAGCAAGTCAGGCTTAAATTAAGCGGCGATTTAAAGCGTTCGCCTTCAAACTGGACACCTTAAGGCATTCCATTAATGTTTTATGCCTTGCATTTATGCTTTGACGAGCCGCATATCGTGTGTTAGAGGTACGATCTTGAGTAGGATCATTTTGACCACAATGTAATGCAGACTAGATCAGGAAAGTGTAGATTTTTAATAAATCAAATGATGTTTTCTGGCACACGTTTCGGTAGTAAACAGCTAAAGGTCAGATATTAATTTATGTACACAACCTGAATCATCAATGCTTACAAGAAAACCGAAAGGCCTTTGATGTCAAGGTTGCTTAGCGTGTTCAAGGTCGCACTGACTTAATTGCAAACAGAACACCAATCAGACTAAGCTCACAGTATGCAAATTAGCCAACCGCGCAAAACAAGGATTCAAGGAGAGTTCAAGTAAAAGTAGGTGACCAGTAAGACACGTGACTCTGTTTGGCTGAAGACGCGACAGTGCCGGTGGTTTTGTTTAAAATATTCCGCGCTCGATATGCGCACACACACATACACAAACACACACACAATGAATGCAAGTACACCACAAAAAAGTGAATTGGTAGAAGAAAAAAACCAGTTTCCAGTGTGAACAGTCAGGTGGAATTTGCGATTCAGGCATCCAATCAAAGTCTTAGTTGAATTCTGCCATGAATCGCACAAATGCCTCGTCAAGTTCACGTCTGCTTTCATGTCTGGGATGTGTTTTTAAAGTGTGTTATCGGGATGCTGCTATGTGTGGCTTTTTCCGTTAAATTGCCGCCACTCATACCTATCTTCTCACCAGCCAATCAAATTGCGTGCAGCTACGTCTGCACTGTGAATTATC